TAGACTCCACCTCTCTGGGAACTCCCAGGCCCTCCAAAGTGTGGAGGCCTATCTCCCCTCACCACACTCCCTGCCGGTGACTGATGCCCTCAGGGGTCGGTGCATTGGTGGTTCTTGGTGTCCGGGGCTGGGCGCTCAGGTATGTACCAGCTCACTCCCGGTGGCTACTTGGCGGGGCCTGGCGCCTGTCGCTCGGTCAGGCCTCTTCCGGGGCCCAAGGGCCCCCCGGCCTCTGGGCCTGCGGCTCGGCTCACTTTGGCACAGCTGGCTGCCGGCAGAGCCGGCAGGCACGCCGGTGCAGCCCCCTCTAGCTTCTGCTCGGTGGCTACTGGGTGACCCCTCGTCTGGGGATCCTCAGGCCTTCCCATGAAGGTGGCACGGATGCCCCTCCGGTGGTCCTCCTTGGGCTCTCGCACTCTGGAGCCTCTGGATGTCTGGGGCCTGGATCTCCTCCATGCCTGCTTCATGCCCTGGGGGACAGGGCTATGGCTCTCTACATCCTCTTGCAGACCATTACATGGGGAAACCATTTGAATACAAGTGCGCTGATCCACGCAGGTGTGCACACGGGTGTTCACTGTTCGTAGATCGTAAATTACACCTTTCTTGGCTGCTACTTCAAAGCACATTGTGCGCAATTCTGACGGCTAAAGAACCAAATGGGACAGGCAAAAAAAACAAAACAAAAAAAAAACACAAACCAAGCAGCCATGTACTGCTTCTGATTTGGAAACATCTTAGGCAGCACAAGAACAGAACAGCACAGTATACATACAATGTCACATTTGGACTCATCAGGACAAAGCACAGATTCTAGCTGGTCTGATGTCCATTCCTTGTGTCAGGTTGAAGAAGATAAGATAAGAGATAAGATAAGATAAAACTTTATTAATCCCTCGGGTGGGTTCCTCTGGGAAATTCGGTTTCCAAAAGCACAGCACCGACAGAAGTTACAGTTACAGAATATTATATATATATATACACACACACACACACACACATATAAATACAGAGACATATATAAATAAAATATACGAAGGGGATAAATAGGAATAAAATAAAAATACAAGTGAATTGCACATTTCAAGTATTGAGGTCTATTGCACCATTGACTATTAACAAAAGTATTGCACAAACAGTATTGCACAGTGAGGTGAAGAGGTGAAGAACTCTCAGTAGTGATTTCTTTAGCATTCAGCCAAGCCCTATACTTCCTCAAAATGATGTTGAGATGTGCCTATTGTGGCTATTTGAAATAAAGTGGGCTGTGGGCTCTGAGCAGAGGAAAGCCATTTCTCTTCTGTTTACTGTGCTCTAATGTAATCCTCTGCAACAGATGTTTTAGTTTGAAGTTTTAGAGAATGAATGCATTTTATTCTATAATCTTTTTTGATGATATGCAAAATGTAGTGGCTTTGAGGCTGCCAGATCTATGTACTGGAGTAAAAAAAAAGTTTAATCTAAAAGGAGATGCCAGAAGTAAACAAACAATTAAAAGTGACATAAAGTTCTCTCAATAAATACAGTATAAAATCCAATTTTCAAATGCTTATTTCATTTATTAAGGGAAAGGGGTTTTCAAAACGACCCGACCCTATGTGTAAAAGCAGTTGCCACCAAACCTAATAACTAGCAGTCAAACATGTGCAAAGGTAATTAGACTTTCACATCACTGAGGAGGAATTGTGTCTCACTCTTCTTTGCAGAATTGCTTTAATGGAGCTACACTGAAGATTTTTCTAGGATAAATGGCCTGTTTGGTGTTATGCCAAAGCATCTCAATTTGTTACTTTTGAGATCTTTTAGCCTACTTTGCCAGACAGTTTCTAATTAATTGAGTTCTTGATTCAGCAGGTCTGGCAGTAATCAGACCTGGGTGCCTGATTGGTTTCTTTAAAAAAAAAAAGAAGAAAAAAAGGCCACCTATATTTGGATATTTTTTCCTCTTAAATAAAACCACCACCACCAAAAGTGGATTTTGTATCTTGATGATCTGAAAGATGTATGCGTGACAAGAATGCAAGTAAATAAATAAATACAATTAATCAATTAAACAAATCTGCACTGTACATTGTATTTATTTTATTCATACCGAACAGTGAATTTCCACTTTTGTTAATTTCAGTGGCAGGCCAGGGTGGCTTTTATTGTGTCCAGTGTGACAATTTTCCTTTATCGCGTTAGTCTCCTGGTGGTGGTGCTTTCTGCACTCTGTAGGGCCTTTAGAAGCCACTGAAGGAAACAAGGAAGGAAGCAGCCTATGAGGCGCGGAGGAGGCTGTGTGAGTGTTGGAATGGGTCACGGCTTTGTTCAACAGTAGGAGGGGAGGGCTGACGGCTACAGTCGCTAAAAGTGTAAAATACAATCAGCCGGGCGAACTATCCTGTCATATCTCTGTGTAGCTGTGTTGCAACGTAACTTCCAGATATTTGTTTCTCCTGGACTCGAAGGATTTCGTCTGAGGGATGTCAAAGCGAGTGCGAAGCAGAGAGGTCTGCGCTGATTGCAGTGCTCCGGGTACGATGCCAGACAAGCTAGCTGTAACGTTAGCTATCCAGCTAACCAGCTAGCTCCCACTATAAGTTATCGGAGCGTCTTGTTAGCCTGGCTAGTTACTGCGACTGTACTAACAATTAGCAATTAGCTGAATTACTAATTGTAGCGGTTGTATTTTTTCTTGTGGAAACGTTAGGTGTTTTTTTTCTTCCTCTTTTCTTCCCCCTTTTTTTGAAGGCGTGCCTGTGTAATCACATTAACCTGTCTTATTCTGAACTAGTTGCTTGACTGTGTTGGTTGTCGGGTTGCAGTAAGGTTAGTGGTGCGTTAAAGGCAGTATTATTTAATTTCTTAAATAAGACTGCTCAGAAGACAGCGCTAACTTGCTGATAATCAGTAATGCCGCACAGTGGGTGTTAATGCTTGTGAAAACGTTTCTTGATTATGTCAAAGATTTGAGGGTGGGATACACCTTACCTAAAGCAGTCATGTCTTACTGCAAGTCAGCGAATATCTTCGTCTGGTTAGAGGGAGTTACTGCTCTGGGTTAAGGCTGTCTGTTACGTTGTTCATCAAATATTAGACTCATGGGATAAAAAGCACTGTATCTGTATCGTAGAACCTCGCTGGGCCTCTGTTAACAGGGGTGTGCTGATCTGCGATGAGTGCTGCAGCATCCATCGAGGTCTTGGGAGACACAGCTCTCAAGTCCGACATCTGACTCATTCTCCGTGGCCACACTCACAGCTGCAGGTGGGGAAGCGGGGACACGATCTCCATAAATCAAACGCAAAGATGCAAATGAGTACAGTCTGTTCTCCATAATGCAATATGTAAATATATAAGAGGACCATGTATGACTAGGAATCCCCAAAGTAAAGGTATTTTCTGCCTGTTCTAAAAATGTTAATGTGCTTTCTTGTTTCAGATGGTTCAAACACTGTATGGCAATGGAGCTAATTCCATATGGGAGCACAGTCTTCTGGATCCTTCCTCTTCAGTGAGTGGGAAACGCAAAGCCAACCCACAGGACAGAGTGCAGTAAGTTTTATTTTTAAAAATATGTCATTGCTGGTTTTTGGTACACTTGATTGCACTTTGATATTAAATTGTATTGACAAAATTGATTTTCTTTGCTAAGGTCAGTAAACATGCCTAATCAGCCCGCTCTACCATGAACGTCACTCACAGATAGTCAGTCTTAACTTACTTGGAGAACTTGCTTGATCAGCTGACAAGCACGTTTGAAAATAAATATATCTGCAGTGCGGTCTAGCTGATCAGCTACATGATCATGCAAGAAACTGAATTTTAGAAGAGTACCTCCTTTAAAGGTAATGCTTTTTGTGAGGAGTACAACAAAAACAAAATCTGCGAAGCAAAGAGATTTGATGTAGTAAAGCCTGTTATAAACACCATGTCAGTCTGCTGTGTAGCTTGGGGAGTAAAGATAAACAGTCAGCCACATGTAATCACAGCAGTGCTGTGTCTGACCCGCACACTTGGAGCAAGCACTTTCATAACTTCTTCCCAAATGCAATTTCTGAGATGGACGCTATCTTATAAGGTTTCCACCACAAGCACTTTCCCTGAGAAACATTTTAAGGATCTTGGGTGCTCAGCAGTTTAAACTGGAAACAGGCTAAATTTAGTTCCTTAAGGTGTAGTTTGAAATGTTTAGTTCCAGGTGTTTTAAAACCACTGGAACTGTGGGGGAATTCTGCTGGGACCAATGTTGCTTAGTGGTTAATTACAGACAATTCAACTGCTTTAAATTCTGTTCAACTTCATTCACACCATATGGATTTATTCTGATTGCTGGACGTTGTTTTTGGGATTAATAAATTTAGGGTATTTTTACTATAACTATTCTTTTCTATTTGCGTAAATATTTTGTATTAAAACGAGCAACGACAGAGTTTGGATGTGACCTAAATTGCACCCCTAAGATTCTTGGCTTACGTGAAAGCCAGACAAATCTAGCGTTGTGGCGGTATAGTGGTTTACATGACCGATACGTTTCTCTGCCATTAATGCAATGCTGCACATACAAATCTGCAGTCCATTGTTTAATGTCCAGTTTAAGTGTTCGCTTCTCGTCAGTGTTTGTCTTAATCATAAACAAAGATAAACAGTGATGTGCTCAGTTGAAAACTTGTAATTAATGTCCACATTTTGAGATTGTGAGAGTCTATTGTTGTTTCCAGTCCTAATAAGACAGAGTTCATCAAGGCAAAATATCAGATGCTGGCGTATGTACATCGGATGCCTTGTCGGGAGGATGACAGTGTGACTGCAAAAGACCTCAGCAAGGTGACAATTTACTCTGTTGTTTCATTTAAACGTTCCTCTTGTAACACTATTAGACGTTCAAAAAAAAGAGGATCTTTGAGACTTTATTGTAATACAGCAAGTGTTTGATTTTAATGTTGATATCTGACCAGTTCCTGCAATATCCAGTGATGAGTTTCCTCAAACTTAACCTGGGCTACTAATATTACGTAGCCCCTCCCCAATGTCACCAAACAGGGCATGGACATGGGGGTATCCTGTGGAGGAAGTTGTCCTCCTGTGGATTGTGAGGGATTGTCGGGTGGGGTCTGTGTAGGTCAAACCTATTCTAGTGCATCCTGTGGATGATTGATTGGATTAGGTTCTGGGGAATGGCAGGCAGAAGGCAAATGAGTGGACTATAAAGCAACATTAATGGCTTAGGGGACTATGTGATTAAAATCAGAGTTTTCTGTGTCCATGTTTTTTACCTGGATTATTAACCATGGTAATTTATGCTGAACACCTAACCTGGTCGGGAACAAGGTATGTTCTGAGTCTTAATTTAAAATCATCTGGAAGTGACACATTTTCAGTGATTCTTTTATTTACAGTATGTTTTAAGTCTTATGTAGATTCTGTGCTGGTGGCATACTTTTTATATGTGCAGCTTGTTAAGCCATAACTTACTGAATGAAGTGCAAACTCTGACTGTGCGTCACATTGTCCTGGGAATGTGCATGTATTGATTTGTTGATGCAGAAAATGTTTTAATGTTGTTCTACTTGATTGTAATCTGCGGGAATTCAGCAACTAGAACACAGAACACACACCAAGAACACCTGTTCAGTTGATAAAATAAATTTCACTTGTCCATGTCGCCTTTACTAGGCTGTGGGATGGTAAGATTTCTTGTTAAAATGTATCCAGATTAAAGCACAGAGAGCGTACTCGGCAATAAAAAAACAAAACATTAAATTGAATTAAAATGTTTATATTATCACTCTGTACTAAATTGCTAGATTAATACTTTTTTTCCTGCATTAATTTGCAATAGTGTTGCATTTTACTTTTGCAGTTTTTATGTCCTTTATAGACTTTTAATTACCCTTTTATATGACCTTTAAAAGCCACTTTTTATGTGACCGTGAACAGAGCCTGAAGCAGACACTCTGCTTAAAAGAGGTCGCTGGTAACCACCACTGTGATAGCCGTTATCTTCAACTGGGGTTTGAATGGTTTTTCAGACGCTCAGCCAAAAAAAGTCTGGCTGTGTTGAACTTTCTTTGTAGAATGGCGTTCGTTAAATGTCTTGGGTTGCTGCTGTTCCTGAAATTTTTTATAGTGTGCAGCGACTGTTGTGCTGTCGTGGAGGCACCTTGTATGGCAATGCGGCTGGTCGTTATGTGTATATGTATATCTCAACAGAGTACTGCATTAAAAAGAAATAACCTGTCACCAAAGTTATAAGAAGGCCTAAAGCCGACACAGTGTCTTCATAATCAGCTGTAACGGATTTTAAACAAGGTTCTTGTTAAATGTCTTTCAGCAACTTCATTCCAGTGTCCGTACTGGGAACCTGGAGACCTGCCTTAGACTCTTATCTTTAGGAGCTCAGGCTAACTTCTTTCATCCAGTAAGTTTGGGGGAATAAGCAGAAAGTTGATTTGGAAGTGGGCGTGATAATACTAATGATTAACCACTGTTTTTTTTCCCCCTTCAAATTTTAGGAGAAGGGAAACACCCCACTACACATAGCAGCAAAAGCAGGTCAAATATTACAAGCGGAGCTATTGGCAGTTTATGGAGCTGATCCTGGGGCGCTGGACTCGAGTGGGAAGACCCCCATTGATTATGCAAGGTAATGTATAGCCTGTATTTTTTATTTTAACACCTTCAAATGTTCTGATAAAAGGTTTGGGGTTTTGTTTTGTTTGTTTTTTTTAGGTGAGAGCAGTCAATGTTATATTGACACTTGATGATGTTAATACCGCAAGATACATTTAGAAGTTTCACTTTTAAGTGGCATTCTGCTTTCACGCATTTAAGTGGATCATATGTTGTAGTCAAGCGAATTCAGGAGCCTTGTTCATTTTCTGTATGTTGGGAAAATGACTTCAGGCATATGTCTTGTATAGAAAACGCAGAAAGCTGCGAAACAGTATTTGACGCTGTAAAGTTGGGATTCCTATGTGTGATGGTAGTGCAGCTGCAAGCATCACCTTAAGAGATGCAGTCCAGCTCATTAGTGGCTGTGATACAGGAAATGATGCACAAGATGCAGATGTAAAAATACACAGGGGAAAAAAAAATAGCTGTGCTCTTGCTTTACATGTTGTATCTTGTGGAAATGTTAGCCGGATACTAAAAACAGCAAGTGACAGGAAGTAGCCAGCAATACACAGCAGAAAAGGACAAAAACAGCTAAGCTGGAAATGGAGGGGAGGAGGAAATATTGTCACCCGCTGAAATGGCTAAAATATTTAACATGCCTTTTACAATGCTAGACAAAAAGTGGCTTTATGTCCGAGTTTGACTAATTCAATGAAACGAGCAAGGCAGAAGAGAAAGGAGGAATTCAGTTGTGCAGTGAGCTGATGACTCAGCTTGGTTAGTTTATAGTAAGTTTCAATTTAGCTCAAGTAAAAAAAAAACTTGTCCGTGTGGACCTTGATATTTGTCTTCAGTCTCATTCACTCTGTTATCATTTCCTCAGCCAGATCAAACTGGAATCTAACCAAAATCTACATTTGATTTTTAAATATGATTATTGATGTGTAAACTGAAAGCGAAGACAACAGATAAGACTATGGAAGCTTGTTTCCACCACTGGGGAAAAAAATATTTAGGATTTATTATTTATTAACTTGAAGCTATCAAATAATAACCTGTAATTTTGACTTTCAGATGGCAAAAAAAAAAGTGGCAGAAAGAGGCTTCCATAAAAGACAGGGTCATTTAAGTTGGGACTTAAAGGGGACTTTAGTCATTTGCAATGCAAAAGATACTGGAAGGTTTTAGACTTCTGTTTACAAATGGTCCTCAGCAAGATTAAAAGTGTCAGGGTGCATTAAAATGGAATGCAGTCGGCACATATTGAGAAAATCTCACTTTTAAGTTCATTTAGTCCAAAATTTTGAATCTAAAGGTCATTTAAGACTCATCTTCACTCAGAAATACTCACACTAACTCCAACATAATAGTGTGGTGTGAGGCATTTTTACATTAGTTTAACAGATTACAACATGTTGTTGTTATTCCCTGATCAATGATTACT